CCCTCGGGTTCACGTTTTAACCTCAATGGTCTCCCTTTCAACCCTCCTTGCTCACCAATCCTTCTTGCCCTTGTCCACTCGCCTGTCCGTCTCCTTGATGTTCATCCCTTCCCTCGTTTTCTCTGTATCCCTTGGTTCCCCTCGCCATCATCCAGTGACAAGGACTGGTGGCACAACGACGGTGCACTCAACACCATCTCCATGCTCTACCCGCGCTTCCCCACGCCACAGCCCCACTCGCCCCTCCCCCGCATCCAGCCCTCGCAGAGCACCCCACCGTACAAGCCAGGCATCTGGTGAGTGCCCCTTTTCCCTCTCCGACCTGCAACTGCTCCTGCACACACACTCTCAGACGCCCTCTGCTGTTTCACCCCTGCAGCCTTTTCCGCAGACTGTCCCTCCCACATGTGCTCTGCTGTTAAATGCATGCTCCTTCCTACTGATCCTGTCAGACCCTTGTTCTGGTGTGCTGATATGGTGCGTGTGTGGTGTGTGGTGTGGTGTGGCGTGGAGCGGTGTGATATGATATGTTCATGTTGTGGTGTGCTGTGCTGTACTGTGTGTGCGCAGGTACTTCTCGCTCCTGGAGGCGGATCACATTCTGTTCATCATCAGCCGGCAGCGAGCAGGCGTGCGCTTTGACGTGCTCTACGACTCCATCTTCCACCGCTGCCGCACCGACCTCACTGCCCTCTCCATCATCGCCTCTGCTGACCCCAATGCCGCCCCCTCCGGCTCCTCTCCTGCTGTCGCTGCTGCTGCTGCTGCTGCGGATGGGGGAGCATGGCTCGGGGCGGAGCAGGGCAAGGTGCTGGGTGAGGGAGAGGAGGTGCAGGAGGGAGTGGGCTTGTCGTTGAGCGAAGTGGCGGCTAAGGTGAACAGTGGTGCTGCGACCACCACGTCTCGTTCATATCGCCTCGTCACCTCCTCCTCGACGCCCTCCTTTTTGCCCTCCAATGTTGCTTCGCCACGTGGCAAGTGCGAGAAGGATGGAAGTACACGTTCAGGGACAGGGCTTGGTTTAGATGGGGGCAGGGCAGGGGGTAAGTGCAGAGAGATAAGTGAAAACGGGGTCATGGATGGGGAGGACAGCACAGAGAGCGTACTTGAGTGGGCTCCCCAGTACAAGTGGGCTGTGGGTGAGAACGAGGCGGAGGAAATTGAGGGGAAAGATTTGGGGTACTACCGGTACCAGGAGCAGGAGGACGAGGGTGCGAGGGTAGACGAGTGCCATGAGTGTGACAGGCAGCAGAAGGCACTGGCAGCAGTGGTGGACCTGTTTGGTGCGCCGCTCACCAATGTGTGTGTGTGCAGCTTGAGGAATGGCCGGGGCAGCAGTGGAAGCAGGAGTGGGAGCGGGATGCGAAGCAGCATGAGCCTGGACTTTCTCTGGGACATGTGGTCGTGGAATGGAGGGAAGGACGTGAGCAGCGGTCGTGCCGGAAAGGGAAAGGAGAACGCGGCGAGAATAAGAAAGGTTAGCTGGTGGGGAGGGGCAGGCCTTCAGAAGCACAAGCACGGATTGCTGTCCTTGGAAGGGGAGGATCAGGACGGTGGCAGTAATGCTGTTCGCTGTGGGGCCGGGGGTGTGACGGCTCTTGACTGGGGCTGTATGCCACCTCAGCATATTGACTAGTGCTTGCGTGCCTGACTTGAGGTTCTTATTATTTTGTGTCTGCTTGTTTGTTTCGGCGAGAAGCTTTATACACTAGCGAATCATGTTGTCTCATTATAAAGTTTTGCATAGTATGTTCTTATGGAGATAAGAGCTAGGGTTACTACCGTAGGATACACATTTGCATGCATATTTGTAGTTTGGACTGGAGCTTGGAAAGATCCGTGCAGATTTGGAGCATGAAACCACCTGTACGGGATTCTTATCCTGCGTGAATATGGAGTTGGGTAGTATAAGATACCGATCCAGCTTGCATCGCGTACGCACTCGATTGCGGTCAAGTTTCCTGTACTGTCAGATGGCGGGCGGGCCACTGGCCCACTGTGTGTCAATTACGAAAGGCACATGACCAGCCTTCTAGAAGCACCGCACGCACACCACCTACTTCACAAACAAGCAGTGCGGGCGGCCTGCATCACCACCACCACTCACATAGCTTCCTTCTCGAACACTTTCTGATCTTGTTCTCGTGGGCCTGCCTTGCACATTTCCCGCTCCGTTAGGCTGCGTCGGGCGCCACCAGCATTTGCCCGAATCGCTCTTCTGCTCGGCCTGTTTCTCTCCTCTTACTATCTCCCCTCAACCTGCGGTTACCGCATTTCGACACCGCCTTCCGCCACCTCCGGATCCCCCCCGCCGCCCGCCATGCCTCTCTCGAAGCATCGCGGCTGTCCGCGAGCGCCGCACATCCATCTCCTCGCGCTCGCCCTCCTCGCGCTGCTCTCCCTCTCCGCCATTCGCACCTCCGCCGCCGCTTCCCGCACACCCGCGCAGGCGGAGGATCGTGCGGAGATGAAGCGCAAGCTGAACGAGGTGGGTGCGCGGCACCCGATCGTGGTGGTGGGGCGGTCGTACTGCCGCGATACCCGGCGAATGCGGGCGTTGATGGAAGGGCTTGCGAGCGACTCGGGCGGGACTATCTGGGCGGTGAACGTTGACGGCACGGAGGAAGGGCCGGGCATCGAGACTGCCGCGGAGGCCGTCTACGGCACCACCGCCATGCCGCAGGTGCGTGCGCCCGTGCGCGCAAGTGGGGGGTTTTGGTGCGCGCATGTGGGGACTTCAATGCGGGCATGTGGGGAGAACATTGGAGACGAATGCGGGAGTGGACGAGGCGCGCCACCGTGCTGCAGCGTAGGTGCTGCTGCACGCTGCTCATGCCTTGCCGTGCGACCGCATTACTGAGAAAAACATCACCATAGCATCAAAATTAGCCTGCCGCGTTGAATTGAAGCAAGTGCCATTTCTTAGCGCCCGTGCAAGCAATGACATGCCAATGCTGCCCCCTGGCTCGTATGCGCCCCAGCGACCCATGCTGATTTAGCCATATCAGCCATGCGCTCCTTGTGACAGGCATGTCAGAAGGAGGTCTAGGGTTCAGGTGCGGTTAATTCAACCGTGCACAAGTAACCGACTGTTTTGCATAGGCTCATACATATGGGGTGCATTGGATTGGCAGGCAGTCAGCTTCGCCTTGGCTTGTGTGAGAAGCTTTCTGTTGATTGCTGAGAGAAGGTTCTGGATGTGCATAGGTAGGAGGTTAAGACCATACCAGCACTCCCTCAATGCCCCATATCCCTGGCTCTGAAGCTTCCACCACAGTGCACCTGATTCTGCTCCCATATGCTCTGTTCGCTCCTCATGTGCTCCACCTATTTCCTCTGCCCCCTCTGCTGCCTCTGCGGCCTGTGCTGACGGCCCCACCAGGTGTTCATAGGAGGGCGGTACGTGGGGGGCAAGGAGCAGGTGATGGACCTGCATGAGCGCGGCAAGCTCAAGCCCATGGTGGACCGTGCTCTAGGCTCAGGCAGGGAGCTGTGAGAGCAACTTGGGAGAGCAACCTGGGAGCATATTACCGTCCATCAGTGGCTTTTATCAAGTTTTGGAGAAGGGAAGCTGTTCAGTGATTTGCGGTGTTTATGTGATGGTGTTTTTTTTATTGAATCATGACTTTAGCATTGGCTAAGAACTTGGTTCCGGCCTGGACCGGACTGGTTCTGTCCCCCTCCACCCCCGCTAAGTAACAACATTGACTGGCCAGCAGTGTTGTCATTTGGGGGAGATGGGGGAGGGCAGAGCCAGTCCCTGGAAGGGCACCCGCATGCCCTGGGACTAGCAAATGCTCAAGGCTCATCCTTCCTCTCTGCCTGTGCAGTGCACTGCCAGTCCATGCCTGGGTGGGCATGGATGGCATGCTGCCAGTCCATACTCCACTGTCTTGCTTCCATTCCATGGTAGTACCGTAGTCCCTGTGGGGCATGTAGACCTGTGGTTAGAGCCACAACCTTTGTAGGAAGAGAATGAAGCTCCATGGTTGAGTGCACATTTAGATATCATATGCTTGTAGACCCATTGGTATGCTTTTGTAGGCAGAATGCAGAGTGTTTTGCATTTAACAAATGAGCGTAGAAGTCATGTTGAGAAAATCCATTAATGGGTTTAACGGTACACTTCTATGCTTGAAACAATTAATATACACACGACTATCCGCTGTCCAAATGCCAAATCATATTCACGACAAAGTTCTTCCTTACAACATCGTGTGAGGAGACGTCCGCAGAGCCGGCAAGGCGTGTCACTCTCGGGAAAGGCGGGACTTGCATGGGTGGGGATGCTCACGGCAGAGCGGAGGCGGCGGCGGCGGATGGTACAGCTTTGGTGGAGAAGGTCGCTTGTGCGGGCGGAGGGGCATCGGCGCACAGTCAGAGGAGCCAAGGAACGGACCCCGGGGAGGTTCGGCTGCTGGTGACAGGGTCGATAGAGGTGGCGCTGCTGCGTGCGTTGATTGCCCGAGTGACTAGCAAGTGGGTCGGTCATGTGCCGAGATGGAGACAGCGAGCGAGTCAGCGAGAGAAAGAGAGAGCTAATAATGCCCGCTTGCAACCTGGTGGCACACGGAGCGGCAGAGGAGGGAGAAAAGGAGGGGGAGGGCGAGTGGAAGGAAGGGAGAGGGTGCAGAAGGGAGAGGGGAATGGGAAAGGGGACGTGGAGCGGGAGGGAGGGGAAGAGAGGATGAAGAACAGACCTTCCTTCTCTCATCATCCACCATCAACTGAAAATCAATGCGAATAGAAACCACAAGAATGCGATCCACACAATGCGATCCCCCTTTTCAGAATTTGCAGTGCTTGCATTGGCAAGAGTCATGACGCTATCTGCCTTCCACACCCCCCTCTCGCACGTGCCACTAAGCACTCCCTGCCTTCCCCACGGCCCAGCACCCCGCAAGGCCCAGCAACCCACTAGGTCACACAACCCCCACGGCCCAGCTCTCCCTCTCCCTCTCCCTCTCCCTCTCCCTCTCCCTCTCCCTCTCCCCCCACTCTCACACGGCGCGCACCTTCCAGTCCGCGGCGTCCATGACCACAACGTCCTCTCGCCACGCCAGCGCGCACATGGATTCCTGCTCCGCCGCTCTCGCCACGCGCACCCACGCCGCCAACCTCTCCCCCCCCCCGCACCGTACACCGCCGCGCCTCTCCGCGTCACCACGCGCAACCCAGTTCTGCCGCGCGGCAACGGGTTGCGACTGGGGGCGAGAGGAGGGGGGAAGAGGGGAAGGACGCGGGGCGGTGTGGGGATGTGGAACGGGAGGTGGGTTGGAGGTGCCGGGGAGTGACGGTGCGTGACGGAATGACGTTTCAAGTCGACTTAAGAGCGACGCGGCTGCATTGGACGAGGTGGAATGACAGTGCGAGAATGGCACAGCACACCGCACAGCATGTGAACCCGCCGCATCACATACTCTCAAAGAATTCACGCGTCTCTTCCACTGAGCTCACACTCCCCCTCCACCATCTCCTCCCCGACCTTCCCGCCCTTGCACTTCCCCTTCTTTCCCGCTCCGATCTCCCCTTCTTCCGCCGCGCCATCCACCACCACCGTCCCCCATCCCGCCTCCAGCGCTGCCGTCACCATCTCCTTTGCTTGCGTCATCACCCCCACCTTCTTCTCGCCCCCGTCGCCACAAGTTATCGCGCTCGCTATCGCATCCGTCGCTATAGCATCGGTCGCACGTGCGATGCCATGCGAAAAACCGCCCTCTGATCGCTTGATCTGAAGCTTTGATCGTAACGAGAATGTTGCAAGATTCTCGCCCAGAACCGAGTTTGCGGCGCCGGTAAAGCGTTCGCGTGCAAGCGAGTGCTGGTTGAAATGCGGTAAAGCGGAAGCGAGCGGCGAAGGAGGGAGAGACGGAGGAAGTGAAGGGAGAGAGGCGGGAAAGCGGTTGAGCTTGATGAGAAGGATGTGAAAGAGGCGTGGGGATCATGGCGGAAGCAGTCGAAGAGGGGAATTTGAGAAGCAGGAGGCACCTCGGGATTCACACAACCTCAAAATTCCTTTCACGGGCATGGTGTTTCTGTTTCACACAGCAACGGTTTTGTCAGGTGCTTTACGGTGCTAGTAGTTCGGTCAACCCACCGCTTCTTACCCCGAAAACACTTGCTGAACCGTACTGACAGTGTAGGCGGAGATTGGCGGGGGACGACCCTGAGGGCGGGGTCACCGCGTTCGTTTTTCACGATTGTACAGTTCATCCGTCGTGGTGCAAAACGATTCCAATCGGTTTACAGCGGTTTCCAAGATCAACCGTTTTAGACCGTGACGAAACGAGAGTAACCGCTCAGGATGAACTGTACAATTGTGTTAAACGAACGCGCTGACCCCGCCCTGAGGATGTGGGTTGGGACTTCTCAGAGCACTGCAAACCCGCTGGAATTGTCCGAACCGTGTTCAACCAGATTCGACCATCCGTCACACATCCGACATACCTGCGTTTTCCCTTTCCACGCCCACCAGATCTGCACATACCCGGGCTGACAAAGCGTCTCGCCAAGCTACGGTTAAACATTTCGCGAACCACGTTACCAGGCCTCTCGACAACCTGACAATCACCCAACCCAATCACAACACGAGCTAGCGAAACCCATCTCACGACAGAAGTTACCTGTGAGCCCTCCAGTTCGCGAGCACGTCTTCTCCTTCAGGTGGGAGATGATTTTAGAGCTCCTCCGTTCCCTCTCTCACACTGCCGCTTCTGTCAGACGACCCTAACAAAACTTCGTTTCCCTCCCACCTCTGCTGCCTACGCCGCCTTCTACGCATTAGAGCAGCTCTTGCCATCACGCTTCGGGAAAAGATCGGCGCCGGTTGGATTAGCGGCTGGCCACATCACTAGATTTTCGGAGTCGATGTGTCCACCCTTCGTTTTTGGCCGTTCAAACAGCCTACGTGTCCCAAACTGGAGACACATGATCTTGTTCCGGTCGCGGATTACAGCTTCCACATTAGGCGGTCCAATCAGAAGTTGGAGTACGTCTTGCTGTCGATGCTGTTCCGATCCACCATAAACCAGGGTGGTATATTTGGGACCACCACTGAAGACAGCAATGCAGGATCCCAACATTAGGCTGTTTTCACCACATAACGAAGCCCAACGGTCCGCAATCAGACGGTCCACACGGTCATCAGGCTCATTCTGATTTCAGGCGTCTCATCTCAGACTTTTAGTTCGTCTCCGTAGCATCCTTACCATTTTTGCCAGACGAGCTTGGCTCGACCACTTCCGAACCATCACTACCTTCTCACTTGTTCACCGGTCAACCTGGCCTTGGTTCGCGGAGCTTCACAACCTCGACCGTGGGAGTTGCTACGTTACCGAGTCAGCTTCGCCTGCAGATCTTCGTTTACGATGTCAGGTACAACAATTATCCCTATTTCGTTTTCGAATTGGCAATCTGATTCCAATAGAGTACGCGACTACCGCTTCAGTTTCTTTCGACCTCGATCCTGACTATGGCCTTCGCTGTGCTGTTATTTGCAGGACATCGTGGTAACCATGGAATCGCCGTGGATCAAGATTGCGTCCTCGGCCTCGTCGCGACGCCAGCTACGACGTGGCTGAAATGTCCTCGATCGACCAGAGGAGCAGAGGAGCAGCTCCACGAGTCGTCCTGGTGAAGGTTGAACGTATCACCTTGCACCACCACTCACCACAGAGCCTTCCCCCCCGGTTAAGGTTTGGTAAAGGTTCGGTAAAGGTTCGGTAAAGGTCCCCAGGAGGTATTTTTTTTCGGTACAGGTTGGTACTGGCTCTGTGGTGGGGCAGCACACGTTTCTTCACTTCGCAAAGTCTTCATTTCCGTTGCATACTTCAATTCCGTATACTAACTATATTTTTTCTACATTCGCAGGTTCTATTGGAGGCTGCGAGGCGTACTTTCGAAGATTAAAGAGGAGCAACGGCCTTCGGGGCTCTCCATGCTTCATGAAGGACAACAGAGGAGCAGCTCCACGAGTGAAGGTTGAAGTATCAACCCCACCTTCACGCTTCACAGAGCCCCCCCCTGGTCGAGGTTAGGTACAGGTCAGGTATGGTGAAGGTCCAGGTTGGTAAAGGTTTGCCCTGAAGGTTTTTTCGGTTGGTATTCGGCTCGGTGTTGCACCAACACATGTTTTTTCCACGCTTCTTTTCGTTTTGCATGCTTTTCTTCCCAAACTTGACTAATTCTCGTTTATTTGTTAACTCGCAGGTTATATGTGAGGGTCTGCTGCGTTTTTTCGGAGGAGCAACAGCCTTTGGCGTCCTTCCATGCTTCATGGCGAACAACAGAGGAGAAGCTCCACGGCTGGTGAAGGTTGAACGTATCAACCACACCCTATTCACGCCACAGAGCCGCCTCCCTTGGTTCAGGTTCAGGTTTGGTTAAGGTTGAGGTTGGTAAAGGTCAAGGTCCCCCTAAGGTTTTTTTGGTTGGTATAGGCTCTGTGGCACTTGCACCACACTTGCACCACCGTCCGTTTTTTCTTGCTTTGTTCACTTCTGTCTACTAATCTAGTTCCCTTGATCTCCTTGCAGGTTCTATTTAAGGCCCTTGTGCCACGCTCCAAATGTGCTCAGAGGAGCTCCGCACTTCCAAGCTCCAAGGCGGGGTGAACGTACCTGCCAACAGCACCTGGCAGGTGCCTCCTCTCTCTCCTCCAGCAGTAAGTCTCGTTTTCCTCTTTTTCGTTTTAATCACTTCTGCATGCTGGTACCTTTACCTTTGTTGACGTTCTAACTCGGATTTCCTCACTCTACTTGGCAGGTTGCTTTATCAACGGATTTCACCATGCCCAAGTTCTATGGGAGCACCATGGGCTGCTGAAGCGTTCAAGGCTTAACTATGGCAAGATAAGTCACCAACCCAGCCTTTCTTCCCTTGCTTTCCCAGCCTCAAGCTTGCTGATTCCTTGTTTTTCTTTTGTTTTCAAGTTGTTTGTCTTCAAGTCCCTGTTCACTAATTTGTTTTGTTTTTCCTCATGGCAGGTTCTCCAAGCGCCATGTACACGCCATGGACCCTCAAGACCTTGCACACCGCTCCACAGTCCAGCAAGCCCAAGATCCACCATGGCCTGCACACGCGCCTCAACACTCAACCATGGAGATAAGTTGTCACCCCCAGCCATTTCCCTTGCTTTATCGTATTACTCCACTGCTTACCCCTTTTGCTTTCACCCTTGCTGGCCTTATGGTTTCTGATCAAGTTGAGCTTCAATTCCCCATTCACTGACGTTTTTTTTTTTTTTTTTTTCCGCCTCATGGCAAGTTCTCCAAGTGCCCTCTGCACACCCATGGATTTCAAGATTTTGCGCTGCACTCCACACTCCAAGCTCCTTAACTCAAGATAAGTTTCAGCCCTTGCCTCCGAGCTCCTATTTTTATGCATATGGTTTGTTCTTGCAGTAGCCAGCTCCTGATTTTTTTGTTTGCTGATTTGCTTCTTCCTTTTTTGTTTTAAAGAGCCTGCACTAATATGCGTCTGTCTTGGTTTTCTCTGTCTGCAGGTGCCTTCATTGGCAGCAAGGACAGCAGTCTCAGTGGGTGGCCTTGCCAGTGCATGAGAGGGGTTGAAGCCTTGAGCATTGGCTGGGGACTCGATTCCGGGCCAAACCGGACTGGTTCTGTCCCCTCCCGCCCCCGTCAAGTGACAAAGCTGTCTGGCCAGCAGTGATGTCATTTGATGGAGGTGGGGGTGAACAGAGCCAGTCCCTAGTAGGGCACCCGCACGTCTTGGTCCTGGCAATGCTCAAGGCCCAACCTTCTTCTCTGCCTGTGCAGTGCACTGCCAGTCCATGCCGGGGTGGGCATGGATGGCATGCTGCCACTAGAAAAAATGGCAGTAATACATTTTGCTGGAATGCAAGTGCTTGATGTCTAGGCATAATAAATGGACCATATTTAGTGCACGTTTATGATCGTGAGCTTAGTGTTTGTAACTTCATACTGTAGTGCTCTACTACCAGAGAATGCAGGTGTCCTGGTATGCAAGTATTGCTGAAAGTATGCAAAGCAATCCCTCCGAACAGAGTCAAGTCACACTAAAGAATGTGTTATCGTGAATTACTTTACGATGCCTTTACCGTTATCCCCGCGCCGTAACGTTATCCCCTGCACCGCGCCCATCTCTAGCGACCTTGATCTGGAAGAAATCCGACTGTGCAAGTGAGCCAGAGAGCCATGGCAGAAAGAATCGCTCTTCGCGCTGTCGCGAGCAATCGCACGAGACACGGTAGAGAGGGTCGACGCGACACCACTAGTCATCGATGTAGGGGAGAGCTACGTAATGCGCTACCTAGTGCGCTGCCTAATGCGTACATAATGCGCTGCCTATTCGTTACCTATTGGTAGTGCTAATGCGCTACTGCTACTACATCTGACAGCCGTCGCGGCGACGTGGTCGGTTTTGCCGCGATCGCAAATGGGCTTCGCTGGCGTCGCCGTCGTCGCAGCGGGGCGGCCGTCGCAGCAAGGCAGCGTGTTCGAGTGCGACGAGTCGCAGACCGCCATGCACTCGGCGTCGTTCGATCCCTGTACTCCCCCTCTCCCCTTCCAGTGGCAAACAAACGACGATTTTCTTGTGCCTCCCTTCCGCCGGGATCGATATGTTCAGCTCTCACGTATCTGACATTATTAATGAATCTTCTTCCGCGGACGTGCGCCTTCTCTCACCTCCTCACGCGCTATCCAGCTCCTGAATGCAGCTCACGTCCCTCGCCCCTCGTCCCTCCCCGCATCGCCTGCGCCCTCCGCTAGCACACGCGCGCCTGCACCTGGTTCCCCCTCTCCTATTCCCCAACGACCCCCTACTCCCGCCATCCTCCTCTCCCCCTCTTCCCCCTCCACCTCCGCCCTCCAGCCACGGCGCCCTCGGCGCGCTACCTCGCCGTCGTGTATCTCCGGGAGCAGCTCAGCAAAGCGCGCCTCCACCTGGCTCACCCACTTCCTCCTTCCCCTCCCCCCCTCCTCTTCCCCCGCACGTTTCCCCCCATCCTCCGCCAGCCACTGCGCCATCCGCGCGGTACCTCGCCGTCGGGAATCTTTGGGAGCAGCTGAGCAAAGCGCGGCTCCACCTGGCGGAAGCCATGGCTCTCGCGCGCCACTGGGGGCGCACGCTCGTGCTGCCACGTGTCCGCACCAGCCGCATCGGCGCCACGTGGCATGCTCCCCGCGTATTTGACCCGGTGCTGATGGGGCGGTTCGTGCCTGCCGTGCGTGCGCGAGGAGTACCTGTGGCGGACAGTGGTGCCCGTGTGGGAGGGGCGAGGGGGGCCGAGCTCGGGGGAAGGGGGTGGCGGGTGCTGTTCAGGCGGATGCTGGTGCTGGTATAAGGCCTCGTGCGAATGAAGGCGGTGGTGCTGCTGCTGCTGTTGCTCCTTCAGCTGCGCTGTCTGCTCCTGCTACTGCTGCTGCACCAGGGGGGCGTCCCGCCTCGCCCCCCCCAAGTCCTCCGATTGCTACAAGCGGCATCGCGAGGCGGCATGTGAGAGGAAGAGGATGATGCAGTATTACTTCCGAGAGGTGGGCGTTTCTTGCCAAGGTTTCAAAACGGGGCGTGCTTGTGATTCTGGGAATCCTATCAAGTACCAGCACCTTCAATATGATGCAGTGTTACTTGCAACATATGTACATGCATGCAGAGCCCTCACCACAACGCTGCTTGCTCATCTCAACATGCCTCTGTTTGTCTGTACCTCCCACTTCTCTTCCTCCTGATCCTATTTTGCGCCCAGTCCTCCTTGCCTGCCGCACCTCTTCCTCTTCCCCTCCTATTCTCTCCTTCTCTCCCCATCCATCCCTCAGCATCCCATGCATCGGGACGTGTCAACATTTTGAGGCGTCTCAATGCCTTGCCCGCTGCAATTACCCCTCTTCCCCTCCTATCCTGTCCTTCTCTCCAGGTCCATCCCACGACAACCCATGCTTTTCTCCTCTTTTTCTCCCCATCCTCCTCTCCTGTCCGTCACTCCCAGCTTGCGTCCATCCGTTGGTGGCATGGCAGGCCAGTGAGGAGTGGAGGCGAGGGGAGAGCCAGCGAGCCCTTGTAGGCAAGGAGGGCTCTGTTCTCTGCCCGTAAGTTGCGGTGATTTGTCAACTCAGTAAGTTGTAGCGCAGTGAATGAGCGTGCGGTGCAGTGAATGAGCGTGCGGTGCAGTGAATGGAAGTCGACGCTCTCTCTCTGTGAGTCGACGCTCTCTCTCTGTGAGTCGACGCACTCTCTCTGTGAGTCGACGCACTCTCTCTGTGAGTCGACGCACTCTCTCTGTGAGTCGACGCTCTCTCTCTGTGAGACGACGCTCTCTCTCTGTGAGTCGACGCTCTCTCTCTGTGAGTCGACGCTCTCTCTCTGTGAGTCGACGCTCTCTCTCTGTGAGTCGACGCTCTCTCTCTGTGAGTCGACGCACTCTCTCTGTGAGTCGACGCACTCTCTCTGTGAGTCGACGCACTCTCTCTGTGAGTCGACGCTCTCTCTCTGTGAGTCGACGCTCTCTCTCTGTGAGTCGACGCTCTCTCTCTCTGAGTCGACGCTCTCTCTCTGTGAGTCCTAATTCGTTTAGAAGAACAGCCAAGTGCAGAGTAGAGTTCTGGGATTTGAAATATCAAAGCCTGTGATTTTCCATCCCTCTCCTTCCCCACCCCACTCCCCTGCCTCTCTGCTCCATTCCCTGCTCTTACTCACACAATCTCTCGCAGCAGAACCCAGCTCTATGCCCCCTGCACACCTTCCTTTCCAAAATCTGTGGCTGTCTAATCCCCTTTAACAAGCGAATCATTCCCGTTCCCCTGTCCCCGTGCTATGCTCATAACGCCCTGCTCCCACGCAGGCAATATCTCGCAGCAACGTCTAGCCCTGCAACCTCTGTACACCTTCCTCTCCCGCGCCTCAGTCAAGCTCCTCAAAACGCTCGTCTGCTACACACAAACCAGATTACATTACCTTTGAGTTGCTTCAAAAGCCACCTCGCTCCCTTCCTGTCCCTTCATTTTTCGTCCCTTCCCTGCTCCCGTGCAGGTAATCTCTCACAGCAGCGCCCAGCCCTGCAACCTCTGCACACCTTCCTCTCCCGCGCCTCAGTCAAGCTCCTCAAGACGCCCGTCGCCTCCCCCTTGGGCCCAGCAACGCACTGCCGATGCCGCTGCTTGCCTTTCAGCGAGAAGAGAAGATGGGGAGCGGGAACTCGTCAAGAGGATCAAGAGGATGAAGGCCACGCAACTGGTTGCCCTGCCTGCACGTGCTCTCATCGTATGTCTCAAGAGGGGGCGGGGGAGGGGGAAGGCGGGGAGGGAAAGGGATGGGAGAGGAAGGGAGAGGTTAAGAGGGGAGGCGATGGGAGGGGAGGGGAGGGGATGTGGGGGGACGGGGCGGGGAAGGGAGGGGAGAGAAGCGGCTGGAGTGGGATGAGATGAGGTATGGAATGGGGATGAGTCTCAGTGCTCTCCTTTACACACTCTCTGTCACTCTCACCCCACTCGCTGCCACCCACGCTGGTCATCTCCCATCCGTCTCCCCTCCCTCCCACTCCCCTCTCACACTCTCTACTGACCCACCTGTGTGTGTCATTCCATATTGACCTTCCGTCCCCAACCCTTGTGTCTCTCACTTCTCTATGTCTCTCCTCCCCTTCCTTTTTAACAACCCTCCTCCCCCTCTTGTCCCCCCCTCCTCCTCTCCCTTTTCCCCTCATCAGTTGCAGCGCCCTGCCACCGTCCAACCGGACCAGGGCTACTCGTGCTGCGGCTGCTGACGCTGCTGCTCGCCCCACTCCGTGCTGCTTGTGCGCTCCCCCTGTAAGTATGGGGATGGCGGGAGCAGGAAGGGCGGGAGGGCAGGAGGGGGAAGAAGGGCAAGAGGGCGGGAACGTTGGAGTGAGGGAATGGAAAGATTTGGAAGTGCGGAGTATGGAAGTGCAGGTGATAACCTTGCACTTGTTATTCCAGTCCCTGCAACGCATGCACTGCCTGTGTGCCACACTATCTGTGTGCTGCAGCACAAGCACTGCCTGTGTGCCACACTATCTGTGTGCTGCAGCACAAGCACTGCCTGTGTGCCACACTATCTGTGTGCTGCAGCACAAGCACTGCCTGTGTGCCACACTATCTGTGTGCTGCAGCACAAGCACTGCCTGTGTGCCACACTATCTGTGTGCTGCAGCACAAGCACTGCCTGTGTGCCACACTATCTGTGTGCTGCAGCACAAGCACTGCCTGTGTGCCACACTATCTGTGTGCTGCAGCACAAGCACTGCCTGTGTGCCACACTATCTGTGTGCTGCAGCACAAGCACTGCCTGTGTGCCACACTATCTGTGTGCTGCAGCACAAGCACTGCCTGTGTGCCACACTGTCTGTGTGCTGCAGCACAAGCACTGCCTGTGTGCCACACTATCTGTGTGCTGCAGCACAAGCACTGCCTGTGTGCCACACTATCTGTGTGCTGCAGCACAAGCACTGCCTGTGTGCCACACTATCTGTGTGCTGCAGCACAAGCACTGCCTGTGTGCCACACTATCTGTGTGCTGCAGCACAAGCACTGCCTGTGTGCCACACTGTCTGTGTGCTGCAGCACAAGCACTGCCTGTGTGCCACACTGTCTGTGTGCTGCAGCACAAGCACTGCATGTGTGCCACACTAGCTGTGTGCTGCAGCACAAGCACTGCCTGTGTGCCACACTATCTGTGTGCTGCAGCACAAGCACTGCCTGTGTGCCACACTATCTGTGTGCTGCAGCACAAGCACTGCCTGTGTGCCACACTATCTGTGTGCTGCAGCACAAGCACTGCATGTGTGCCACACTATCTGTGTGCTGCAGCACAAGCACTGCCTGTGTGCCACACTAGCTGTGTGCTGCAGCACAAGCACTGCCTGTGTGCCACACTATCTGTGTGCTGCAGCACAAGCACTGCCTGTGTGCCACACTATCTGTGTGCTGCAGCACAAGCACTGCCTGTGTGCCACACTGTCTGTGTGCTGCAGCACAAGCACTGCCTGTGTGCCACACTATCTGTGTGCTGCAGCACAAGTACTGCCTGTGTGCCACACTGTCTGTGTGCTGCAGCACAAGCACTGCTTGTGTGCCACACCAGCTGTGTGCTGCAGCACAAGCACTGCCTGTGTGCCACACTATCTGTGTGCTGCAGCACAAGCACTGCCTGTGTGCGACACTATCTGTGTGCTGCAGCACAAGCACTGCCTGTGTGCCACACTATCTGTGTGCTGCAGCACAAGCACTGCCTGTGTTCCACACTAGCTGTGTGCTGCAGCACAAGCACTGCCTGTGTGCCACACTGTCTGTGTGCTGCAGCACAAGCACTGCCTGTGTGCCACACTATCTGTGTGCTGCAGCACAAGCACTGCCTGTGTGCCACACTAGCTGTGTGCTGCAGCACAAGCACTGCCTGTGTGCCACACTAGCTGTGTGCTGCAGCACAAGCACTGCCTGTGTGCCACACTGTCTGTGTGCTGCAGCACAAGCACTGCCTGTGTGCCACACTAGCTGTTTGCTGCAGCACAAGCACTGCCTGTGTGCCACACTAGCTGTGTGCTGCAGCACAAGCACTGCCTGTGTGCCACACTATCTGTGTGCTGCAGCACAAGCACTGCCTGTGTGCCACACTATCTGTGTGCTGCAGCACAAGCACTGCCTGTGTGCCACACTATCTGTGTGCTGCAGCACAAGCACTGCATGTGTGCCACACTATCTGTGTGCTGCAGCACAAGCACTGCCTGTGTGCCACACTAGCTGTGTGCTGCAGCACAAGCACTGCCTGTGTGCCACACTATCTGTGTGCTGCAGCACAAGCACTGCCTGTGTGCCACACTAGCTGTGTGCTGCAGCACAAGCACTGCCTGTGTGCCACACTAGCTGTGTGCTGCAGCACAAGCACTGCCTGTGTGCCACACTATCTGTGTGCTGCAGCACAAGCACTGCCTGTGTGCCACACTAGCTGTGTGCTGCTGCACAAGCACTGCCTGTGTGCCACACTATCTGTGTGCTGCAGCACAAGCACTGCCTGTGTGCCACACTATCTGTGTGCTGCAGCACAAGCACTGCCTGTGTGCCACACTAGCTGTTTGCTGCAGCACAAGCACTGCCTGTGTGCCACACTAGCTGTGTGCTGCAGCACAAGCACTGCCTGTGTGCCACACTAGCTGTGTGCTGCAGCACAAGCACTGCCTGTGTGCCACACTATCTGTGTGCTGCAGCACAAGCACTGCCTGTGTGCCACACTGTCTGTGTGCTGCAGCACAAGCACTGCCTGTGTGCCACACTATCTGTGTGCTGCAGCACAAGCACTGCCTGTGTGCCACACTAGCTGTGTGCTGCAGCACAAGCACTGCCTGTGTGCCACACTATCTGTGTGCTGCAGCACAAGCACTGCTTGTGTGCCACACTAGCTATGTGCTGCAGCACAAGCACTGCCTGTGTGCCACACTAGCTGTGTGCTGCAGCACAAGCACTGCCTGTGTGCCACACTATCTGTGTGCTGCAGCACAAGCACTGCCTGTGTACCACACTATCTGTGTGCTGCAGCACAAGCACTGCCTGTGTGCCACACTAGCTGTGTGCTGCAGCACAAGCACTGCCTGTGTGCCACACTAGCTGTGTGCTGCAGCACAAGCACTGCCTGTGTGCCACACTAGCTGTGTGCTGCAGCACAAGCACTGCCTGTGTGCCACACTAGCTGTGTGCTGCAGCACAAGCACTGCCTGTGTGCCACACTAGCTGTGTGCTGCAGCACAAGCACTGCCTGTGTGCCACACTAGCTGTGTGCTGCAGCACAAGCACTGCCTGTGTGCCACACTATCTGTGTGCTGCAGCACAAGCACTGCCTGTGTGCCACACTAGCTGTGTGCTGCTGCACAAGCACTGCCTGTGTGCCACACTATCTGTGTGCTGCAGCACAAGCACTGCCTGTGTGCCACACTATCTGTGTGCTGCAGCAGAAGCACTGCCTGTGTGCCACACTAGCTGTTTGCTGCAGCACAAGCACTGCCTGTGTGCCACACTAGCTGTGTGCTGCAGCACAAGCACTGCCTGTGTGCCACACTAGCTGTGTGCTGCAGCACAAGCACTGCCTGTGTGCCACACTATCTGTGTGCTGCAGCACAAGCACTGCCTGTGTGCCACACTATCTGTGTGCTGCAGCACAAGCACTGCCTGTGGGCCACACTAGCTGTGTGCTGCAGCACAAGCACTGCCTGTGTGCCACACTAGCTGTGTTCTGCAGCACAAGCACTGCCTGTGTGCCACACTATCTGTGTGCTGCAGCACAAGCACTGCCTGTGTGCCACACTATCTGTGTGCTGCAGCACAAGCACTGCCTGTGTGCCACACTATCTGTGTGCTGCAGCACAAGCACTGCCTGTGTGCCACACTATCTGTGTGCTGCAGCACAAGCACTGCCTGTGTGCCACGCTATCTGTGTGCTGCAGCACAAGCACTGCCTGTGTGCCACACTATCTGTGTGCTGCAGCACAAGCACTGCCTGTGTGCCACACTGTCTGTGTGCTGCAGCACAAGCACTGCCTGTGTGCCACACTATCTGTGTGCTGCAGCACAAGCACTGCCTGTGTGCCACACTGTCTGTGTGCTGCAGCACAAGCACTGCCTGTGTGCCACACTAGCTGTGTGCTGCAGCACAAGCACTGCCTGTGTGCCACACTATCTGTGTGCTGCAGCACAAGCACTGCCTGTGTGCCACACTATCTGTGTGCTGCAGCACAAGCACTGCCTGTGTGCCACACTAGCTGTGTGCTGCAGCACAAGCACTGCCTGTGTGCCACACTAGCTGTGTGCTGCAGCACAAGCACTGCCTGTGTGCCACACTATCTGTGTGCTGCAGCACAAGCACTGCCTGTGTGCCACACTATCTGTGTGCTGCAGCACAAGCACTGCCTGTGGGCCACACTATCTGTGTGCTGCAGCACAAGCACTGCCTGTGTGCCACACTAGCTGTGTGCTGCAGCACAAGCACTGCCTGTGTGCCACACTATCTGTGTGCTGCAGCACAAGCACTGCCTGTGTGCCACACTGTCTGTGTGCTGCAGCACAAGCACTGCCTGTGTGCCACACTATCTGTGTGCTGCAGCACAAGCACTGCCGGTGTGCCACACTAGCTGTGTGCTGCAGCACCAGCACTGCCTGTGTGCCACACTGTCTGTGTGCTGCAGCACAAGCACTGCCTGTGTGCCACACTATCTGTGTGCTGCAGCACAAGCACTGCCTGTGTGCCACACTAGCTGT